ATATATATATATATATATATATATTATAAATCACATGTATTTTTTTATTAGAAATAATTATGTTAAAGCTAAATAAAACTATTATTGTTAGCGACAAAATTCTTGTTATTATGTAACCTTGATATCAATAGTTATATTTAAAACTTTATATTAATATTTTGTTTAAATCTATATGATCAACACTATGTTCGAAAGATTTATTAAGGATCGCACAATTTGGGCAGACAAAATGACATATTAGATAAGATTATAATTTTTATAATTTGATAAAGAAGTATAATTTTTTTTCATTAAGTTGATTGGTAAAATAATACCTACGATTATAACTATATATTAAACCGAAAATCAAATTCTAATATTTGGTTAAGAATTAACACAATCCTTTAGTGAGGGATTGCAAACGACAAATAAATAAAAAAAAATATTAGAATGACGATAATAATACACTTAAAAATGTTAAATTAAAAGAGTAACAAATTATGTGACAAATTATTCTACATCTCAATCATATATTTAAATATTTAAATTTACAGTAAATAGAAAGTTATAAAGATTATTTGTTTTAAATTTATTACTTTTAGACAACTGATCATACTAAAACTCTTAATTTGATATTTACCCTAAAAAGTAAATTGAAAAAAAAAGTGTAATAATAACAACAACAAAAAAAAAAGTTTATGTAAAATTAAAAAAAAAATCCTCGATTGTATAGGATATGTATTTCCTTAGACTACTATTAATATAAAGATTTATTTTCACATACTTTAATTTTAGCACTCATATGCTTCTATGGAACATAATAATTAAAAAATTATTTATGGAACACACATTCATAATATAATTAGAATTGAATGAATTAATAAAATGTGACATGATTAATAAATAATTTTATTGCTTAAATATATAATCATGATTCAATTTCTTATTTGTGTATATATAAAAGTATTTGTTAACATATGTTAATTCTGAATTTGATTCTTCTAAAATGAAAGGTACACTTTAGAAAATAAAATTTAATAATAATTATTAGTTAAAAAATTAATGATAAAAATTATAATAAAATCAAATATATGTATAATAAAAATTAAAATTAATTATAATATCTATTATTTATTTTTTTAATCAATAGTTATTATTACACTTTATTTTTTAAAGTAATTTTTTTTCATTTTAGAGAAGTCAAATTTGTCAATTCCTTAAATAAGTTTCATTATGGAATTAGTCTTTAGTATCAAACTAAAGATCCTCTAATTCACCGAAAAATAACACAAATAGAGAAGATTAAAATATCTTTACATTTTTTTTTATTTGGTGAAAATAAAATCTTTCTCAAAAAATACAAATTTACTTTTAAAAACAAATTTTCAAAACAAAATATCTTTTATTCTCTTTTCAATTCAAATTCCAAAATTTTCCCTCTTGTCTGATTTTCTTTCCTTTTTTTTATTCATCGATTGCCAAACAAAAGATTTAGAAAATTTGAAAATAATAAGTTTCCACATTTTTAGAAAATGACCATTAAGTGGAATGGTAATAACTTCAACACTACGTCAAGATTCAGCCCTAGACTTTGAAAACAATAAATTTGATTATATAATACAGTAAATGACATGTCATGGTATTAGAACGATGCGATAACAATTAAATTTTAATAAGTCATATTTAAACAATAGTACGTTGACTAACCATATGATTTAACTTAAGTAATCTTCCATTTTTGTCTCCAACTGTAACAGTTGGAAGAAACTTTGTGAAAAACATGGTTCAATAGATTAGACATTCCTTCTATTCCTTGTCTTTCGGGCACATCCTGTTTCTAGCCTCTGGATGGAGACTTTTTCTCCAAAGGAACAAAACACAAAACATTCTCCCCTTTCTCTTTCTCTTTCTCAGCCCAAAAACTCAGCCAAACATCATATTTCCTTTGAATTTGAAATGACATCACCATCACCATTTCAGGTTCACATTGCCGTCAAACCTCATCATCAGTCATAGCACCAACTATATCTCTTCCTTTTTCAATCTTTGAATCCTTCCACTAATTCCTCATTGCTTCTCCAAAGGGTCATCTATAGTTCCATTCATTTCCCACATAAAAAATGAACCATCCAAGGTGAGGCAACCAACATGAAAATTTTTCTTTCTTTCCTTTGATGCCACGAAAGGGTGGTTAAAATTTGATTCCTTTAGAAAACTTGAGACAAAATGATGGCGTTCCATCGCTCCATAAGGGCACAACCGGTGCCTTCATCTTTTAATGAGAAAACCACGGAGGAGCCTTTGCCATGCAAAGTTGCACAAAGCACCGTGACATGTTTCTACCAAGCCAATGTTGCGGGGTTTTGGCGAAACATATCGGTGTTATGGAGCAAAAACCTCATGAACCATTCCTTGCACATCACGGTTGATAGTGTAGGAGGTGAGGTGCAATATACATGCAAGATTGACGTGAAGCCTTGGCACTTTTGGAGCAAAAAAGGGTACAAAACCTTTGAGGTTGATGGCAACCATGTTGAGCTCTATTGGGATCTCCGGTCGGCTAGATTCGCCGGCAGCCCCGAGCCGAGCAGCGACTTCTATGTAGCCCTTGTGTCTGATGAAGAGGTTGTGTTGTTGTTGGGAGATTACAAGAAGAAGGCTTACAAGAGAACAAAATCTAGGCCTGCACTTGTTGATGGCATGTTATTGATCAAAAAAGAAAACGTGTTCGCCAAGAAAAGTTTCCCTACCAAGGCACGGTTTGATGAGAAGAGAAAAGATAATGAAATTGTTGTGGACAGCTTCACTGCGGGGCCTAGTGACCCTGAGATGTGGATTAGCATAGATGGTATTGTGTTGATTCATGTCAAGAACTTGCAGTGGAAGTTCAGAGGGAACCAAACTGTGATGGTTAACAAGCAACCTGTGCAAGTGTTTTGGGATGTGCATGATTGGTTGTTTAGTGGGTCAGAGTCAGGGCCTGGCCTTTTCATCTTCAAGCCAGGGCCTCCAGAACCTGAGACTGAGAAAGATGGCAGTGCTGTGGAAGGTTGTGAAAGTGATGATGGCAGTGTTGGCTTGTATTCAACTATGAATATTGCCACCTTTGAGTTCTGCCTCGTTCTTTATGCCTACAAAATTGAGTGATAGAAACCAGTCCAAGTGTATGATAGTTGAGGCCAAAATGTAGCAAGATTGTAATTGTAAAGTTAGTTTAATTTTTTATACTGGTGGATGCATTGTTTCTATTGTGAAGTCAATATTGCTTTTGCAAAGTAATTGGAAGACCTGGTTATTGGAATCGGGATACAGTGATTGATATTCGCAGGGAGATTTTTTTAATCTATTTTAATGCTATTTTATGTTGCATGCAACCTATTCATTTTTCTGAGCCATTGCTGCGAGTAGATAGTAATGAAAATGACATTTTTCAGCTAATCCAAGTATTTCTGTTCATTTTTCATGATCATGGATTTCTAGTGTTCTATTGTTCTCTATCAGGTAGAATGTTTGTAACAAGTGTAGTCGATTGGTGGCAATATACACTTTCCAATTAACTTCTCTACTATTTCTTCTCATGTCTGATTGCATAATTATCTCGCAATTAAATTTGTTGAAATAAATATATCTTTCATTCATTTGATGAAATGATCATTGTCAACTTACAATAACAACATCGTTTGAAAGGGAAGAGCAAAATATTTTCTAACTTTGAAAAATTTATTTTAAATATACCCTTGCTAAGCTTTCTTTATGTAGAATGGTAGATATTATCTTAAGAATCATAACATGTCCCTTGATATCATATATTAATATTATCCAACATTAAAAATGTGACTTGTAACGCTCAACCAATCATTCTCACACTCGTGCTACCTACTAATCAAACCCACAAAATTATTCATAATGATAAACTTTTAGCTGGCATTCAAAATTATCACAAGTAGAATGCATACATTGGGAGAGTATTACCACTTACAATTTCAAGCATGTCAAAAGAGGTAAGAAGATATTTCACTATTTCTATCTATGCTAGACCACAAAGAGAGAAAGATGATATCTAAGATTCTCAACAAGTTAAATTCATACGGATAAAAAAAACTCTTTAGTTTCAGCCACCTTTCCTCCCTTGTAGTTAGATTGCTGCATATAATATAAGTTGCATTAAACAGTTTAAACCTCATTGCATCAATCAAAGACCTAATACAAATGAATAGAATCTATATCATAAGGGCACCAAAACTACAATCATATTGAGGCCAATCTGGCATTCACCAAAACTAACAAGGTGTTGACAGTCCGAACAAACAATGAACAAATTTTATGAATGAATGTTAGGTACAGACACAAATTTATGGTTGTCATCTTCTTCAATACCAAATGTCATATGCTTATTCTTCTCTCTTTGAGGAAAATTTTCAGAATGGTGAGAAAGAAGGGGAGGATGATCAGAATTCACCTCATCCCTAAAAATTTTACGGATTTCCCACAGAACCTCTGCACAATTCTTCATAGGTGGCCTTGATTGTTTCAAAGGCGCAACGCATTGAAGAGCTAGCTTGAGAACCTTCTTTACTGCTTTAATGGAGGCTGGATTTCTTCTAAGTCTAGGGTCCATGGCAAATACAGCATCCCCTTGTTTGAGCATATTCATTGCCTGCATACATGCAAATTATGTTGATCTAATCTATTCAACCATCCTTTGGAGTGTACCCTCTACCAGTTTCATTGTCGTATCATCATTATAAAATACGAGAGAAAAAGTATGTCATGCAACTGATTACTTTATTATCTTCCTAACTAATTTATTCTCACAAAATTAACCAAAGAGCCGTGGAAATCATGATCAAAGTTGACTCCATTTAGCAAGGAGGACAGTATGGATCTAATTTTGACACTTGATTCAGCAAAAGTGCTGATATATCTTCCAGCCAAATTTTCTTTGAACAGAGAAATTGAATTTGACTTCTCTTTCCAGTATATTTATTTTTCTATGATCTAGGACTTTATTATAGACTTAATAAATACAAGTTTAAAATGTTAACCTATCAAAATGTTATTATGACTACATCTTTCAAAACTAAAGGGGAATGTCAATCAGCTGGTCCGATGGTTTTTCTTGAAATAATGCAATATGTGTATGTGCAATTGTGCATGCTTTAGAATAACTTGGACACTGCACAAAATTTATAACAATTAGATCAGTAAGAACCCGAAGATGAAGTACTATTGATGAAAAACTAACGCCCCCAATTTTGTACCAAAATGGTGACAAACTAGATTAGGCAATAATAGAAAGTATAGAAAGTATCCTAATCTCTCAGATTACTCATGAGATATCTTTCCTACTATACATATGACTATTTAATTCCGAACACTATGAATTAACTAACAATAACCAATTAGCTAAAATTCTATTTCAAACAGTTACGACTAAGTCAGGTAATAATCCTCTACATCTCCTATTTTTCCTCATATATACACCAATAGAAATCTGGTATCTACTTAGAAAGAATAAGGGATTTCTCCCTTGAATACAGAGCCTAACTTATAGAACTTTGAGGTCAGCACCTCTATTAGGATTTTGGGGATAGGGGAGTTACTGATTTAGTTAGAATAGTTAGAATATTAGTTAGTTATAGTGACATAAATAAATAGGAGGAAATTCATTTAGATTTGTTCATTTGTAGATTTAGCATTAGCTCTTGAAAGGAGAAATTCTTTGTGAATAGCAAACCCTTGGAGGAGAGTTATCACTCCAATTCTCTGCTTCTTTTTAATCAAGAAAAATCTTTCTTTTCTTTCTTCTATTTTCTAATCTAGGTTCCTAACAACCTCTCAATGCCCAAAAGCTCCAATTCTCTCACAAATGACAAGATGATCTCTCTGGCCACCTCCCCTCTTATTTATAGGCCACATACCTAATTTCTTCAACCAACTAACCTAACTAATGGGTATCTATCTTATACCCTTTTTAATTGGAGGGCTTTGCCTGTCAAAAATTCACATCATGATTTCTGAATTTTGATTGAAATTTAGTTGGTTTTCATAAACAATTGAAATAATTGCAGCTTATTCTAAAGTGATGTGCTCATTTACTCTAAGGTGGAATTTGGGAGAATCAATATACATACCCATCTGATTGTCACTCTCTCATCAAGGGGTCTCTTTGATTCTATTGGATGTCTTCCTGTCATCATTTCGACAAGCAATACACCAAAAGAATAAACATCACTCTTTTCAGTGAGTTGATATGTTCTAAGATACTCAGGATCCATGTATCCTGCTGTCCCTTTAACTTGAGTTGAAATATGGGTTGCAGTAGGATCATCAGACAACCGTGCAAAACCAAAATCTGCCACTTTGGCCTTTAGGTTCTCACTGATTAAGATGTTTGATGCTTTGATGTCTCTATGGATAATTGGATTATCTGTCAATACAAGACATAGTGAGGTTACTTGAACAAATATTGCAAATACCCTTCCCTGAGACTTCAATTAGATACATTTCAACTATACAGAATTCAAATACGTTGTGACAGATTTGGTCCATCCTAATTTAGTTATATGCACACACCTGTGTACATATGAAGGTAAGTTATTGCGTGAGCTACATCAATTGCTATGTCTAAACGCTCTCCAATTTCTAGTCCTTCTCCTCGAATACCTGCATTAATAATTGACTATTTTTAGTTCACCAGTCACCACTGTCATATACTATAAATCAACTGTATCTGAATATTGCATTATTGAATAATATACACACTGCAATGGTCTATTTTGGTATATCAGGAACCTACACGCCACCCAACATAATGTGAGTAAAAACTGTAGACTGTTTGTGCACGGGAGGTTCTCACTCACAAGTCTCCAAATTGGTATGATATTCATTTTGGACTTAAGCTTTTATGATTTTATTTTTGGTCATCACTAAGAAGGCTTTGTACCAATGAAAATATTTATGTGTTTATAAATCTATGTTCCTCCCCTTGTTCTAAAGATATAAGACTTCGAATGTATTCCAACAAAAACATTGTGAAAAGTTTCAGATGAAAAGAGTTGGATGTCTTATGAATACAAGAATAATGGAGAAAAGTTCGAACTTATACTGCTTTAATCTTCAGATTGTGTGATTTCTGAATCTGGCAACATATGAGTGAAATATTATATATGACTAATGTAGATGTGTTCCTAATTTCGTTGTGGATCTCTACACTGCATTTCTTTTCCTGTCTAGTTTATCCTAGTCTTTCAGCTACTTGTGTTTGAGCAATTTGAATTGATTTCTTGATCTTTCACTTTCTTCCTACAACTATTACCTCATCTTCCTTGAGTTATGTAAAATTAGGCCTTGCTCCTAAACTTAGAAGATTCCAGATTATGATCATACATTTACATTCAGCTCTGTGTAAAATCTAAAGAATTCACTTCTTCACATGATAGATGGCTGACAAACCAGGACTTACCATCTAGATGTTCTCGAAGGTTACCATTACCAACATATTCAACAACAATAATTTTCTCATCTCCATGCTCCAAATATCCATACAACCTCACAAGATTCCGGTGCTCAATTTGCGACAAGGTGTATATTTCATTCTTGAACTCGTGTAAGTGATTGCGTATCACATCCTGCAAGAAAATTCACTACATCACATTACACAAATCCCCAAAGCAAAAAAAGAACAAATGTGGGGGTAATAAAAGATGTCCATCTAGTAACCTATGTGGTAACTGATGAACATGCTTCATTTTCACCATCTTCAGCACAATTGAACAAGTTCTAGAGATAGGAAACAATCAAAAGATGAAAATTATCCTATACCTTCTTGGCACGTTTCACAGCAACAAGAGTTCCATCATTAAGCTTTCCCTTGTAGACGGTTCCAAATCCACCTTGCCCAATTTCATTATCTGGAGAGAATTTTGCTGTTGACTTGTAAATCTCTTCAAAGGAGAAGTTGCCGATTCCAAGCTGTCCACTTGCAGTGCTAGATGATGCGTAGGAATAAGAAAACTTCCATTTTGAAGAATTCTTGGTGTTACCTTCTGATGATAAATCTGTTGATGCTGCAAATTATGATACAAATACCCAATTTTAGAAAATCTCACTTGGAAGAATACTACAAAAGCATCATGTACCTCATGCTGAAGTGATTTGCCACAAAACCTTCCCATGATCTGAACCTCAGTTAACATAAAGAATTGACCATGAACAACCACAACCCAAACACTTCAAATCACACAAAAAGCAAAAGAATTTTTCATTTTCATCATACATACTTACATGATACCACCCCTTTGACTTTGGATGTATTCTTCCTCTCATCATTTCCAACATCATTTGAGGCTGTCTTTCTTTTGCCAGAGAGAAACAATGAAAAAGCAGCTGCACATTTCTTGACAGCATGCTTCAAAGATTTCAGTGCGGAATTAGTCTTAGGATTGTGCCTCCTTGTGTCATTGATTGCACCAACAAGTTGAAGATTAGCATTCGGTTTTTTTCTTTGGCTAGATTGATGCAATTTGGGGGATGGTGTTTTCTTCATTTGGAGATATGCCAAAGCTATTCAAACACCAGATCATTTCTTATGCCTAAAATATAAAAAAGGGAAGGTCTCATATGCTTTCTTCTCATGTGTTATTTTCTAATTTTTCTTGCCTTATAATTTATTTGTCTCAGACCTTTTCTTCATTCACGTTTTGTATCAGTCCAATGAACATAAGTTGCCAGCACTAGTAGCTTTGCCTTTTCAAGTTAACATTTTAAAAGTCAAAGTCACACCAATATTCTAGCCATCATCCAACCATGTCAAAGGATGAGTTCAAAAATAAAATAAAACCAGGTCAATGTTTTTGTTTTTGTTTTTGTTTCATGTGTTACCATGTCAATATCTCACTGGAGTTGGATAGTAGAGAATAAAAAAATAGCACCTTGGCCGGCCTTAACCCCAAGCCTTATTTTCTTAATTAAAACAAAAGCAATATCTATTGTTGGAATACAAACAAGTCTAACATCGATAAGATATGATAAAAAATAATAACATATATAGCATAAACATACTTCAATGATTGAAAGGCTTTTTAGGTGATGATCAAAAGTAAAATTGTGAGAACTAAAGCTTAAAGCAGACAATATCTCATCATTGTGGAGTATATTTGTGTAATAACCTCATAAAATATCTCCTCAAATAAATACCATATAATAAGCCCAACAGTTGTTGTTGTGTCCAATTAATCGATTATTATCAATAAGTGATTTTGACACTTTTATTATGTCCTATCTTCTTATGGAAGAAAGACATGATTGAGTATTCCATCCTATTTGCAAAATCTTAAACCATCTTATTCCGATTCAATCCAAGTAAGGATGAAACACTTGTTAATAAGATCAAACTTTATGTCAAAAATAAAATAAAGAGTCAAATGATAATTACATTCTACCTCTTTTCATAAAATCAATTTTATAAAGTCACTGTATTATAAATTTATGTAATTAATAATTTCCGAATATATATTATCTTGAAAGGGAAATAAATGGTGTGGGGCAATATCAGTTATTGTGTATGGTATAGAAGTCAAACTTGGTTTGCATCATTATTACACATGTGCGGGTATTGTATTTGTGGATCCCATTTAATAAATAATCTTTAGAATAAATTTTGAGTATTTCTTTTTTATATTTAACTGTTTTTATATTTTAATTTATCTTAAAATATTAATTATTCAAATATTAAATATATTAATTATATTTTAATATTATTCTTATTTATTATGATTTTATTAAAATTATTCTTATAATTTAGAATTCTTAAGTTAGACAGTGAAACATTTACTCTTTTAATTCTCTTGTATAAAGATTCTGAAATTCCACTCCTGGTTGAGAAGTACATTTCATACGCCTCTCGCAACTAATAAAAACAAATCTCTCAATGAGCATAAAGACTTAAACTACTCTTTTCTTTTTATTTCCATTTGTATATTTAATTTTCTTAATTATTCATCTGGTTCAATTTAAAAATAATTTATATCACAATTTAAATTATTAGCTACATAAAATATAATTTATATTCAAAATATTTATTTATTATGATTTAATATTAACATATTCTATAGTCTTTAAAATATATTATGAATTATAATTATATAAAAATAAATATTTAACCTATGTAATACACAAACTAAAATACTAATACTATAACAATTTATAATTATTTAATATTTTAATTAAGCTTATGTTAAAAATGATTTATTATAATAATTTATAATTAATATTTTTCTTTTTTTTACACCACTAATATATTTATTTCTTAAGTATAAATAAAAGGATAAATATGGGTTTTATCAATGGAAAGGATACATTAAAAAACACATATTCAAATGTAGAAAAGGTTAAAAATACTCATGAACATAACTTTTATCTCAAGTTCAAATAAATTGAACTCAACCAATTTTCAAATACACCCTAAACCCTATGTCACATTGGAGCATAACTCAACTAAAACTATGTTTAGCAATAACTCTGTCTAAATAAGATCTTATGTATTCCAAACTAGTCACCGAACTTTGGTTTCACTTTAACTTGTCGGAATATTCATGAATCCATTGGCAAGTCTCACTCGTTACAATTAACTAAATGGGGGAAAAAGGTGAAAAGAAAAATCAATTAATACCAACATTAAGAACCCAAAGTGCCAAAAAGGAATCAGAAACATTTAAAGTTACCATTAACTAAATCCCACTTAAATTGAAGGTCACTACAACACAATTAGGGTAAAATTAAAACAAACATTGCATTACCAAGAAGATAATAATCCAAGTAGGCAACAGAAAACACAAAGCCCTCCCATTTACACCCCCAAGAGGCCCAATAGGCCCAAGGCTAGCCCCCGAAGCCGTAGAGAGTCCTTCCCTGCCTCTTGAGCGCGTAAACGACGTCCATGGCGGTGACGGTCTTCCTCCTGGCGTGCTCGGTGTAGGTAACAGCGTCGCGAATGACGTTCTCGAGGAAGATCTTAAGCACGCCGCGAGTCTCCTCGTAGATCAAACCGCTGATTCTCTTAACGCCGCCTCTTCTCGCCAACCTCCGAATGGCGGGCTTCGTGATTCCCTGAATGTTGTCGCGGAGCACCTTCCGATGCCTCTTCGCGCCTCCCTTCCCCAAACCCTTGCCTCCCTTGCCGCGACCAGACATCGTCAACCAGAATTGGGGATTTTCCTTTCAATTGGGGGATTAGGGTTTTTGGTGAGGGGGAGAGGGAGAGGAGTGGCTATTTATTTATTTGGAGCGGGAAGAGTGCGGGTATGAATCGCGAGGGGTTTCGTTGCATCGTGGCCGTTGGAGGGGATGGGAATCGACGCTTTTCGTTTGCGATCCGTGGCCAGGTCTGTGGGGCGTTCTTGAGCGTTCTTGAGCGTTCATTGGGATTTTTTGGACGGTTGGATTGAATTGTGGGAAGAAGCCACGGATCGTGATTTGTCTCGTGAGCACATGCTTCCTTTATCGTTTTTGTTTCGTAGTGGCTTTCCGAAAATAAAGGTAGAATAATAATGGGAATAAATTTTTATACGTGAATTATCGACGAAAAAAAATTAATTAATTAAATTAACTTTTATATATATATAAAATTTGGGGTTTATCTTTTTTTTATTATGATAATTTATAGATTTTAATGAGTTATCGATTTTTCGGTATTTGCTTAAAGAGGGAAATGTAAACAAAATCCACGATAAAATCGCATGGAATTTTAATATGAAAATATCTATTTTTGTAAATATGGATTTCTAAATATTCATCATGACATTAATTTTAAATGAGTTCGTAAACATTATCATTAGTATTGTACTTTCACACCATTTTTTTAAAATTATTTTATTTTTTAAGTAAACATTTTTTAAAACAAACTTAATCTAACTATGTATATGTAATGTTAATTCATGGGTGACATAAAATCACTTAGTTTTTTTTTCCATTTAATAAGCATTTGAGAATTGGACAAAAATGTGTAAAATTACGAAATAAAAAAATAATAAGATGGTAAAATATGAGAGGAAAATTATCATGTAAAATTAAGAAATTTAAGTCACACGTGATGAACTTAAGTCGTCATTTTTTTTAGTAAATTGTGTAATTCTAACTTTATTATTTAAATTATTAAACTGTTGAAATAATTAATTTATTTACTTGTAAAAATATGATGTATGAGAGTAAAATCTTAACTCACATACATATAGTGTTTGTATTTTGTAACATGGAACAGATTTAAGACAAATGATCGTATCTTTCAAATCAAAACTAACTTTTATTATTATGAAAAAAACTTTACTTAAATCTAGTTAAAACAAATGGGATACAAATTCATGGATTATTCTTTAAACTACCCAAACTTTGGATTTAGTTAGATGCTTAATAAAAATGGGATACAAATTCATGGATTATTCTTTAATTTTGTCAAATTCAACTACACTAATAATACACTTAAGTTCAATTTTTAACATTTATTTTTAAACTCTTCCATATAATCTTCAAAAATAAAGATTAAATATCGTGCTATATAAGATATCCACACTAGACATTGTAGTTAAGAGAACAAATCCAATTTAGATGGTAAACACATTTAGTCATGTTACATGTCATTTGATATCAATATTAAACTTATTTTGATCAACAATTTTTTAATAATAAGAAAAAACTGAAAATTTATAATTAAAAACAAATTTTCACTTTTCTCATTTTATCCTACCCAATCGACTAGTTTAAATACAAAATCAAGTATAAACAACTTTTTTAGTTTTCCATTTTATCGTAAATAATTAATTATTTAAAATAAAAAATTAACTAGAACAAAATTTATATAATCATTTTATAATTTTACTATATATTAGAATGGTCAAAATACACAGATAATTATATTATATATATATTTTTTCTCCATTTTATCCTTTATCCTTAAAGAATTATGTATTTATAAATGGACAAAAAAATCTAACAAAAATAAAGATGAAAGATATTACTTAAAAATTTATTTTCTTTATTAATAATTATAGATAATCATTCTTTTAAAAGCTCTCTTGTATCAAAAACATTATTCACTTAGATACAATGAGTATGTCTTTATAAAAAAAAAAAAAAATTAAAATACGTTAAATTAAATAAATAATTTAAAAAACAATTTTCATGATTTTCATCTAATATATTTAATTATTTCATACAATCAATTAATAAAATAATTTCTTAACGACTTAAATATTTTTTTTGTTAATATAATATACTGTTTTTTAAATTTTAATCCCATTAATTTTTAAAAAAATAATACTTTTAAAATTTTTCTTTTTTATTTTAGTTCTTATTATTTTTTTACGGTCCTTGTACTATTTTTTTCCCATTTTTGTCCTTATAATATACTATGTAAAAATTGTACTTTTAGCCTCTACCATCTTTTTCAAAGAGACTAATTCAAAACAAAATAAATATATTATAGTATCATATATATATATATATATATATATATACTAGACCCAATTTTTGCTGGGAAATTTCAGCATAATCGATTATGCAAGGCCATAATCGATTATGTGGCCAAGCATAATCGATTATGCTGGGGAATTTTTGCTGCCAGTGGAACCCAGAACTATGGGTGGCAAAATGGGTCAGCCCGCCCCGTTTTGGCCCGCCCCGCCAATGGACCGCTAAAAACGGGCTGGGCTGGCCCGCCGATGAAAAATGGGCTGAAAATGCTGGCCCGCCCCGCCTAAGGGTGGGTTGGCAGGCCGGCAGCCCGCCTACCCAAAAAATAATTTGCAAAAAAATGGAAAAAAAAATAGTCCATGTTTCCTTTGATTCCAGCTATCATTAAAAACAAGTTGGGCGCGAGACTAGTGCAGTGTATCCCTCGTCTGTTGGCCATCACATATCAGAGACAAATAGTTCACTATTACAGCACTAAGATTGCTTTATTTTTCAGTGTTTATGCATGTAAAAACACAACACATATAATGCAAATGTCTTCCAAGTCAAGATAGCATAATACATTTTCTGAACAGAATAGAAAGAACGCTATAATATTAATTGAATTCTTAAGAAAAAGTGCTTTTCAATTTAATCATCACTAGTATATAACAATATATGAGATGGTACAGTAAGGTTTCACCTAAAGAACCCGTACCAAAGACACCCCATATTTTGTTATTCAAATTAACACAGTGCCCAAAAATTCTGAAACAAACAGTAGTCTTCCTTTAATCAGATCTCATAGAAGCACAACAGGATGGAATCCACAAATGCGGTTTTAACATTGTGGGGAAACCAAACTTTCATGGTAAATATGCATATTAAACCCAAGTTCGCCCCTAATCCTAAGATAATCCAACCTACCATCATTCAGATTATACAGAACTAATTTGCCATATGTGTTTTTCATGAGAACAACACCATCTTCTAAAATGCACAAGGGCTCAGACGAGGGATACATTGCACTAGTTTCACTTATGCGGGCTGGCGGGTTGTGACGGGTTAGCCCGCTATTTGGCCCGCCGGGTTGGCGGGCTTGGCAGGACGGGCTTGGCGAGTTGGCAGGCTGAAATAATAGGCCCGACCCACCAAAAATTGGCAGGCTAGCGGGCCACGTCCCATTTTGCCATCCCTACCCAGAACGACCCGTTCCAAAAATGCATTTTATGAGCAATATGCGAAGTCAGAACGGGCCGTTGCACATTGGGAACGGGCCGTTCCATTTTTGGAACGGGCCGTTTCATAAATGGACGTTGTAGGTTAATTTGTAACCCCAGAACGACCTGAGTTAATAAATATTATTATTTTCATTTTTATTAATATTATTATTATTATTTATTATAATTAATATTATTTATTAAATTAATTTATTTTTAATTTAATATTTTATAATTTTTTTAGTTAAAATTTATATATTTATCTTTTAATTATAATAATTATAAACCTTTTTTTAACTTAAGGACAAAATAATAATCTTACACAATTGTCAATTAAAAAATTTATTTTTATCTATCACATCAATCAATTCATTCACAAATTTTCACAAATTTTCTCTACACTTTCCACTCACTTTCCCTTAATCCAAACAACCTCACTTTCTCTTCAAATCCCTCATTTTCCATCCTCAAATTCAAACAAAGCCTTAGGATATGCAAACCAGCAAATAGACTCCATGATCAAGCACGAAACGGTCAGAAACCTTATTACTGTATATTTTTTCTCCTTTATTTTATTTTATTTTAAGTATATTCTCCGAATCCAAGAAATCCTAAAAACAAACTATACATCAATGATTTTACAGTAAACAGATGGTTAGCATCTGTTTTACACTTGCAGGCGTCACATGACAGTTAGATCACGTAACCATCTCTGCCATTCTTGAGCTATCTCCTTTCGTATACAAGAAATTGAACTGTACAGTACACTATGTAGTTTTCAGCACTCGTCAGACAACTGTTAAAAGAGTTTGAGAAACATTTCATCAGCAATTTACAAATTAATAGGAGTCTAAGATTTGCTATAACAAAATCACAAACACAAAAAGTAATTTTCACATACAAAATAATATTCTATAAAACATAAACATACATATAGAGATTAAAGAGAGACCATATCCAGCGAGAGAATTTATTTATTATAAGTCAGCAAAACAAATCTTAATCATATAAGTTTACATAGATAATCATCTGAGTAAAGCTACATCGTCAGAAAAAATTGTGCGAATCATCCTCTGAAACTTAAAATATTAATATTCTTTTAATAAATTTGTTATAAAATAATTATTTAATTTAATATTTATAAATTAAATTATCATTTTATATATTCGGACAGATTTTCAGACAAATTTTTAGAAGATCTATCATTTTTCAATTTAAAAAGATAAATTATACTTTTAATTCTTTATATCATATTTTATTTATTTTAGTTCTTTATCTCTTAAATTTGAATTAATTTAGTCTTTTAAAAAGAATGATTATTTTTAATTTTGAAACATGTTTTATTTTTTTTAACTAATTTAAAATTTAAAACTTGGTGTTATTAGATTCACTTATTTAAGAATTATGCAATTGAAACTCAAATTAGGAAATGTTATAAATATAGTAAAAATTGCATAAAAATAACTAAAAAAAAGTTTAAAAAAAATCAAAAAATATAATTACATACTCGTAAGATATATTTTTCATATTCACTTTATTTATAACCTTTTTAGATTTAAAAGTCAATTGAATTTCTTAACTTTTATATAATAAATTTAATATTACAAATTTCACATCTTCAATCAATCAAAAATTATTCAAAATCGTGTCATAAAGTTGAAATGATCATTCTTTTAAATGATAAATAATCAAAGTGAACATTTTAATAAATAAAGGATCAAAATAAATTTAAAAATAAGATAAAGGATGAAAAGTATTATTTAACCAAATTAAAAATAACCTAAAAGGTCACGAGTTAAGCAGCTTATTTAATTTCGATGATTTATGTTAGATCCAATATTTGTTTCTCTCACAATTAAGCAGCTTATTTACTTGATATGCTCCCTATATTCGTTCAAGGATGTCAGTATTCACAAAAGCAATAATGGTATGCCAGGAGAAAAATTTAAAATATATTTGCTAGTTGAAAGCCAAATATATGTATATTTATACTCACCAGGATCGTCAAAATTTACTCTTTCTCCAGTAGAAAATAGGCAGTAGAAAATTGCAGCAAGAAAATAAAGGAGTGATGTAAGCAACAGAAATCCTGGGAAGGAACCAACTAGTTCAACGAAAAACCCAGCTCCAACTGTTCCAATTATAGCAGCCAATGTTCCAGCAGTATTTGACATTCCTAAAACAACAAATCAAAAGGTCTTCATTACAAGACATCTTATCGTAAAGTACAGAGACAAGTATATTCTCAACTCTAGGCAGATTTTGCACATATTTCACCTTATTTTTCCATGTCTTTCGTTACCAAACATTATAATTTCGTTGAATGTTAAAAGTCCAAGTCCAATCGATATGACTCGTATCTTCCCAAGCTATATGAAATTTCATGAAGGGTATTGCGAGGTGCTTTATACATCCACATCACAGCTTGGCCAATTATATTTCAATGGGTTAAGTAGCATGACAAAAGCCTCTTCAATTAAATCCTACACTAGTTAAAAGAATTACCCAATTCTAGACTGAAAAATCGTAGCTGCCAATTTGCATTTTACCACACATCACATATAAATATAACATAATACAGACTACACAAGACTTCAAATGTTTATACTGATGAAATATGCTACTAATCTTATTAAATGTGTTTTGAAACACCAAAACATGCAATCCACACAAGTTTAGAAGACAAAGATGAAAACATACCATGTAAAACACCAGAATACTGTGGTGCAATCTCCTGCAACAATAAAGAAAATGAACATTATATTAGAGAGAGGACTTCTAACCAGAAAAATATTTGTTTTTACATGATTGAAATAGAAACCTGAAGGTTCACAAGAAAACCAGAGTGACTGAAAGATTTCAGGCCAAAAGCAAAAGTAAGCCAAGCAGAACCAATTGAGGGGTTTTTGGCTGTAGCTAAGCCGATGAGGCAGAGTCCAGGACCAACAAAACCAATGGACTGCAGTGAAAGTGCAGAATAAACATTATCCACTTAAACTAATACATAGTGAGAACAACCAAAACCAAACTGGGATATAGAAAACTATGAATTTTGATGAAAACTGAAGAACATAGAATAATTTCCTATTTCTGTATATTCTATTGAGGATAACAAAGTATAAAACAGTAATGAAATGGAGCTATTTTATTGCTTAAAGAGGTGAAGAAAATGACAAGATAACTGCATAAAAGATAGATCCCAGGGTGATTTTTTTTTTTTTTTTTTTTTTTTGAGGAAGAAGTTTCTTTCCCCAGCCCATCCTTTATCCCCTT